TTTTTTTTAAAGCCTAATTTTTTAAAAAGTTCTGTATCCCTAATTTTAACTAAGCCAGAGAAATAATTACATAAATTGCTCCAGTAGTCCCCTAATTTTTTTCGGGCTTAGTGAGTCTATGTTGGATGATTCCAATAATCAAGAATGGTTAGTGACAGAAACCATAATATAGAATGATATTAAAATCTTTAATCCCACCAAAAATGCCCACATTACTTTCACAGCCTCAGGTGGAACTATTAGTAAGTCACCTTGGGGTCCAGTGAAATTAGCCTCTGTAGGCTTTTCATACTCAGAGCTATTTCCATTTGAGGGTCTTTACAGAGACCCTATGTTCTCCTATGCCTGTGCCCCGCTCCCTTCTGCTGTTTCCTTTCCTGACTGTGACTCATCATTAAAGTAGTATCTTAAATGTTAGGATGAAAATCCTACCCCCAGCTTCCCATTCAGAGCACCAGGCCTGGATTCACGTCGTGTTCATTCTACCAGTGCCAGAGGCCTTCAAGCTGGTTCCAATTCACAGCACCAACTCCACGTGCCAAGCCAGGGAAGAGCTGTGCTTTACAGTCAACCTCTCTGCCACATCACCTCTGCACGGATTCAAGCCTCTGAGCTCTCATTTGGCAGCTAGGCAGAGTTATCATTTGTGCCACCCTCAAACGCCTGTATCTATTCTTGTATATACATATACACAAATATATATATCTATAGCACCCACAATTAAAGTATGAAAATTCTTACAACAGTTTTGATAAATATCTTACCTCAAATACCCATTCTTTATTGCACCCACAAGTAAAGTATGAAAATTCTTAACAACAGTTTTGATAAATATCTTACCTCAAATACCCATTCTTTTTCTTCCTTCCCATCTAGGAATAAACGAGTTTCTCTATAAACTTGGCCTATATCCAAGTTTAATGGGGATATATCAAATTCAAGTCGTTGTAATTCAAATCCTAGTCCAATACCAATGGCTTTTATAAAGCTTTCTTTCAATGCCTAATATGAGAGAAATAATTTGTTAGTCGATTTTTCATAAAATCTATAAGTCTCAACACATCTGGATTTTTTACACTACACTGTATTATAGCTATAAGGTTCCCTTAGAAAACTGGAGACAAAGCAGCTGTAACTCATCATTGAATCACTTTGTGCCACCATCCCCACGCCTACCATAGGATAATGCTAGCACCTTTCTCTGAGGATTGTTGTGGAGCAAATGCTATCTAAGCATGCGGTACATTCAGTAAGGCTATGCACATTTCTGTAAGTTTAAAAATAGTAGTGACAAAGGATGATAAATATGTGTTGATTTACCTTTAATAATGTGATCTTGTGAGTACTAAAGATAGGTTAAGTCTTAAAATGCCATTATAATGCAAGAGATTATGCACAAAACCCAAGAAGTTTCTCAGTAATGACTCATTAATTTCAATCATGATATAAATTCCTAACCAAAACATTTTTGCTCAACTATAACAGAATCATGATAAACTTTTCAACTTAGAAACTTTACCCAATTTCTATAAAACATATCCAGTTGAGTCCATTCGTCCTTAAAGCTTTTGATGGTCTCCCACTCCTTGTTTGTGAATTTTCTTTTCATAATATGGAAGAACTCTGGAATTGAACCGCGACCTGTCAAATGAAAAATTACAGAATAGCCGCTGTTACATCAGCACAGTGTTCAAGCGCACACAAAAATAAAATTATAGGCTAATTCCACTCTTCAATGCACTGATAACCATTTATGTAAAATACCAACAAACCAAAAGTGGTAAAAAAAAAAAAAATTAAAGGAGTAACATACCACAAGAAGCAGGGTTTAATCCAGAGACAGAAAAGTGAATTAATATTAATCAGTAATGCTAAGCCGAATTGCTAAATTTAATGGAGGGAAACTCTAGTATCATTAATAAACAGGATGAAATTTGGCAGCCGTACCAGTCACAAATACTAAGTAATAGGTGGATAGCTCTTTCTGTTAACTTTGTAGAGGAAGTAGTGGTAGAAAGCTAAAGATCATTCTTTTATCCAAAAATATCACTATGTTTGGAAAATTACTATGTACTCACTTATTCAAAATTTGCTGCTTTTCAACTTATTTTCTAATATGACTTGTCTAAAATAAAGTCAGCATATTTCAATTTTGATTCTTTTCTGAAATGCCACTGAAAAAGCTTCTTTTTCTGTTTTGTGTTTACAGTGCCCATTTTCATTTCTCCCTTGAGGTTCAGAGCGGTGAAGTGACTGGCGCGAAGTTACATCAGAAGCCGGCCTGCAGGAGTCCCGGCTCAGGACCCGGCCCTTCCTCTGCGCTCTTCCTCTGCCTTCCGAGGGAGGAGCCACTTAGCTACTTCTTTAAAACTCACATTACTGTCCACTCCGCGTGGTGCATTGTTTTTAAATATACAGCATCCCTAGTGTCACTACTCAATATAATATCTCAAAGTATCCTAAAAATAAATGACAGGAGATGGTGGCTTAACTTTCAAGCCCAACTTAAACAATATAAAAACTTTCCCAGCATCCACGCTTTAATCAACAAATATTACTGAGTGTCTAAGGAATAGGTGCCATAATTCAGGAAGACAGACAACAGTCGTAGGCTCGGGGATTCTAACAAGAAACCAGCCATTCATAATACTTTGCAAGGGGAGCAAGGGTTATATCAGACAAGGGATCCCTTCATTGTGACTATTACTCCCTTCAAAGAAGAGTAACTTTGCAGTCCTCTCAGGATCACCTTTTCAGGTACTGGTTGGACTGCTAACACCGAGGTAAACAGTTCAAAACCACCAGCCACTCTGTGGGAGAAAGACAGGACTTTCTACTCAAGTACAGAATTATCGTCTCAAGACAGTCACAGGGCAGCTCTATGCTGTCCTATAGGGTCCCGATGACTGTGAGTAAGTTCAATTTTAAGAAGTAAGAATGCCTGAGATTTTTAAGAGAAATGCACCCACTATATTTGAGACTAGCTGGACCAAAATGATACACATTAGACTAAGAAGGCAGGAAAGAACATTAAATAGATCTTTCAGTATAGGTAAACCAAATACACTCTATGTAAGAGCAGATACCTGTAGTTTTGTGTGCCAAAACTTTTTTCTTATTTTTCAATGGGCCAAAAATAAAAACTACTGATGACTTCCCTATGATAATTGAGTTAAGTTCTAAAATGAAATGCAAGACATAAACTATATAAACAAGTCTTATTTGTAGCATCCATTTTTAACCCTTCCAAGATATTATTTCCATTAAAATGATATGAGAACTGCATGACAAAAGTTAAGACTTGTATGGTTTCTATCTCACTGAACCACTTAAGAAGAACAAAACACTACTATATTTACACGGAACAAATTCTAACAGACAATTTTAAAAACCAAGTGAGTTGTAAAATTAAGTACAAAACCCCCCTCTAAACCTGTCTCTGTTGAGAAATGCATGAGTCAGAATTCTCAATTATATTCTTTAACATAATTAGGTTAGCATTCTAAAGAAACTAACATAAAATAACTCTGTCTTACTTTTAAATGGTTCAAATTTATAGTGAGGTAAAGTTCTAACTACTATAAACAGCAAGAAGTATTTATTTTTCCTAATTTGTTGTTAGCAACTTAAATTCTTTAAACATAAAGGTTTGATACCAATGGGATCATTTCCATTTCCCTGTTCACCCACTACAGGAACTCTACGATGTTATTACAGATGAAATATACCAAAAACTGCCTGGAAAAAATGAAGACATCCATCTTGAACAAAGAGCAGCCACAGTGTTCGTTAGAAGCAAAGATGGCAGATGTAGCACTTTGGGGCAAGTTCTCAGAAGAGACCAGCCCCTGGAGGAGGACATCCCACTTGGTAAAATGCAAGAACAGTGACACATAGCAAGACCTTCAAGGAGATGAACTGGCACAATGGCTACGTGTTGGAGGCCATTACGACTCAGCCTTGAAACGGCTGAGAAGTCTCATGACCCAGGTGCACCTGCTGTTTGCTTCTGCGGCTTGACATTGAGACTACGAGAAAGAACAAGGATGTATGTGAGTTATGGGAAATCAGGATGGTTAATTTTCTCAAGGATGCTTGGTTTGGAAAAACATAGAGTTGTTGATGTGTATCCATTGTGCTTGCTTAACAATGAGAAAAATATAACCCGGGGTTGTTTCTGCATGTATAAAAGGAAGATGTAGAATAAACTCAGGGCTTCAGTATTCACTGTTGCCCTCTCAATACTTTCTGTCTCTCTTTTTTTCCTTAATCCTCACTCCCCCTTTCAGGACCCTTTGACTCGTCGGCAGGCTCCAACAGCTACACCACTGGGCTCACACATAACAACTGTGCGCCCAGCACAAGACCAGGCAGTGCTGCATTCTATTATGCACAGGGCTGCAGTGATTCAGAATCAACTTCAAGGTACCCAACAACAATGAGAACTGTATTAGGAATTCTAATACCTTTGTTAACTCCATTATAATGGAGAGAGAGGCTCTTCCTCATGCCCAAGAGAGCTGAAGAACTATGCCGCCTTCCTATTCCCTCTACAGAAGAGCTTCAAGAGTTCACAGAAAAATTCCTGTTTCCTATGTATCTTTCCACTCTCCTCCTCTAAAAACATGGAACTAAATAAACCAGTGTAACCTATAACAGAAACATTTCATGCAACTCACCAAACATCTGCATTTCTTAATTAACTAAAAAACAAACTTTCAGTTTTGCCATATGAATAATGGGTCCAAAACTGCAGATACGTGTGGAATAAGAAACTTTATGTGGTTAAAGTTTTACTTATAAGATAAACAAATGTAAGTAAAGTCATCCAATATTTTTTGAAGGCATGCTTACATTTCAAAAGGAACACTTTCCAACAAAACTCTCTACCTGATGAAAGAAATATTCTCTACCTGTCTGCCCAATATGATAGGTGCTAGCCACACAGATGACAGCTCACTTGGCACATGGTTAAGGTAACTGAGAAAATGAAATTGCATTTAACTTTCATTAGTTTAATTTTGTATTTGCACAACCATGTGGGTCTACTCCAATAGAGTGCAGTTTGAGAAGCTGCAAACATCAGTTGCGGCATGCTGTCTTCAGAAATGTAAGCCTCAGAATTTTGTTTGTTTCTGAGATCCTAACAGATTGCCCTTGTTTACAGATGAGGAAACTGAGCTCTATCAAACCTGAAAACAGCCAAGGACGGCCAGAACTCAAAGGATCTGATTCTCAGAAGGAAGAACTGAAGTATAAATTAAAATACAAGGTGGTCTTCGTACATTAGCTTCTTAAATGTTACAATTATGTTTGCCTAAACTTGAACTTTCGTATCTCAAATGCCAACTCCACATTTCAAGATCCCCAACTGGCTGAGTACAACTTTTAAAAAGGTAGCATCAAAACATGATACAATTCATGTTCGTGGAGCAACTACTTAGTTACCAGTTGCTGTGGAGTTGATTCTAAATGGGGAACCCATGTTGTCAGAGTACAATTGGGTCTATCAGCTTTTCAAAGCGGTAACCTTTCAGAGGGAGATGCCAAGCCTGTCTTACGGGAGGCTTCTTGTTGGGCTCCCATTGCTAACATTTCAGCTAGTTGTTGAGCCCTTAATCATTTGTCACCTCCAGAAGCCCCTACATCTCTGACGACGATGCTTGATGCCACCAGTTTCAGTGGTCTTTCTTAGTGGGTGAAGCAAGTCCCATAAAAGAAGATGTCAACGTTTCCTATTTAATGCTTCACTAATATTTAATCACAGACTTCTTCCACGCGAAGTCACTGAACTGCTAGATCATTTGTTCTAAAAACTGAGTTAAGTGCTACATGCAGAAATGAGTAAAAGAGACCTGGTCCCTCTCTTTATCTTCATCTTCCCTATCAAATATCTTAAAAGTTGAAATATAAATGTCAGTACTTCCACAAAATAAGTTTCTAATCTCCCTATCATCTCCACTTCAAAATACCCAAATTGGTACCCTCTTGTGGCCCACAAGGTGCCCTCGTGGCAGACTGGGTTTGACTGGGCATTGACTGAGCTGCTGCCCTGTCCTATCGGGTTGCCATGAATCAGAACTGATCCAATGGCAGTGCTTTCTCTTTTTTGGTGGTCCATTAATTAGGTCAAGACAAATCCCTCACCCATTTCAAATTCACCAGACTCCTTTAACTCTTAGCCCTATATTATAATCCACATTAGAAATGACATTGTGTTTATAATTTGTATCTGTTTACATGATTGTTAACAGACTGGTACTTCCTAGAAGCAGACTAGCAAAGCTTCAAAATCATCTTGCGTAACAGAACTGAAATATTAAACTGCCATCTGAGGATCCTTAAGGGCAGAGCATTCTTAGCATTGGGGGCCAGGGACTCCTTTGGCAGTCTGGTGCTCACTCCCCAATATTCCATTACCTGGAAACCCCTGTAGGAAAAGACTTCGGTTAAAATCAATGACTACCACGTACTGGGCTTGGCAAAGACACCTTAAAGAGCACTTTAAGCACTGCACTGCAGCTTACAAAAGGGACAAGAGCGCAGAATGCATGTGACTGGAAGACCGTTGAACCCCCTTGACTGGATTCTGGTACGGATTGTGTAACGGCAATGAGAGAAGTGGTTTCTCTCATTTGAAT